AACATCTTAAAACAAACCATAACTCAAAAGGGTGAGTTTCCATGGTTTTCATGTTTTGAAATTAGATCCAACACACCCAAAACAAGTTAGAGAGGAAGAAGAAGAGTTAGAAACAAGAGGTTTACCTCTTCTCAAGTTCTAAGATGAGTCTTAAGGCTCTTTTCTCTTGAAAGTCTCTCTTCTCTCTCTTCTCCTTAAAGTTCTAACCCTAAAATGTGTTTGGGGTTTCTATTTTAAAGAGCAGTTGTCGGGTTCTCGCTCAAGCGAGCCCATTCTCGCTCAGGCGAGAAAATCCCGCCTATTTTAAAAACTCAGATCTGACCCTCTCGCTCAAGCGAGAATCTCACAGTGTCAACAGCCCCAGTTTACCATTTCTCGCCCAAGCGAGGCAATTCTCGCTCAGGCGAGAATCTCTCGCTCAAGAGAGACTTCCAGGACTGATACTATAATTTTAAAGACTAAAATTCGGAGGCCCAAAGTTCTTGGGAGGAATTACTTTAGGGGTTGCCTCCTCATCGGCTTCCAGGTCATCCTCATACATCCTGCACTTGTTTACCAAGGTAGAAAAATCGACAATCTCTTCATTCCCAAACATACTTTTCAACTTGGGCTTCAAACCCGATTCAAACTTTGAACATTTGGACCTTCCGTCCACCTCCAATTCAGCGTATGGACAAAATCGGGCCAATTCATCGAAATTGGCCGCATATTCTCCCACTGACATGTTACCCTGCTCCAACCTCAAAAACTCCATTTCTTTCTTCCTCTTCAGATCAGCAGGAAAATACGTCTGAAGAAATTTCTCCTTAAAGGAAATCCAGGTAATCACTCGCCCCTCTGTTTCCATCTGTCGCCGAGTAAATTCCCACCAAGTTGCAGCTTCTTTTACCAGCATATAAGAAGCATATGTCACCTTCTGAATATCATTACAACCCATGGCTCAAAATATTCATTCCAAGTCTTGAATCCACTCGTTCGCAGCATTAGGAGCGAATCCACCTTGGAACTGGCTAGGATTCTGCTTACAGGACTCATTCAATCCTCGGTACTACGCTGGCCCGGGTGGAACTAAAGGTTGCGAGCTGGGACTTGGTGCGGTGCTCTGGTTCAGGCTATGCAAGTTCTCATTCACTTGTTGCAGTGCTGCCACCGTGAGCCAACAGATCATTCAGAACATTCTGACTCGTTCCTCTTCCTCTTCCAGCCATTTCTTAACTTGCACTCATTGGTGGTTAGTACACAATCCTAACTCACATAGTTCACGTTATCACTTAGTCTCATAACATATTACATGTCACTACACCAAGGCTACATGATTTAAACAGTCAATTCACATAATTTTCAACTAGTTAAATCACAAACATGTTTCAAAGAAGCAAGTAAGGCCATACCCTAGGCCGCAGGATGAACTATGCTCTAATACCATATTGTAAGGACCCAAATTCCTCACTTGAAATTTTTTCGTTTATTTTAATCCTTTATGCTTAATTTACCATGTTACATCATACATACATTTCCTTTAACTTTCTAAGTAATCCATTTCATTAATTATCTAATAACTCTAATCATACCATTTCGGTTTCCTACCATGCTACCTTTAATTGAAAAAAAACATAATTCATATTACTATATCCCGGTAACTACCGCATACAACTAGCTATGAGTTTCCCAAAATACCCATAGCTACAATTATCCGAAGTTACAAACATCCAGAATTACAATTATCCAAGTAGCATTTAATTAGTCATAATACAAAATGGCAAAATAAGAGAATCCAGGTTTTAAGCTCCTAAAGCATCAAACAAAGCATCCTCAATTATCCTGTTTACCTGCAATGGGATTATCAAAGACAAATACACACAACATACAAAGGAGTAAGTCATTAATTCAATATATACCATTATAAGATAATCCACATTTTAAAGGGTTAGTAAACCATTTTTAAATTCCTTTTGCTACATAACTTGAGCCAAAGTTTGCTACAACACTTGAGCCAAAGCTTGCTACATAACTTGAGCCAAAGTTTGCTACATCGCTTGAGCCAAAGCTTGCTATATCGATTGAGCCAAAGCTTGCTACATAACTTGAGCCAAAGTTTGCTACATCGCTTGAACCAAAGCTTGCTACATCGTTTGAGCCAAAGCTTGCTACATCGCTTGAGCCAAAGCTTGCTAACCAATCATGGTCGGCTAAAAACGTGTTTTCTTTTCATTGATACACCATCAATTCATAAACAGCAATTCCATGCATTTTCTCAATATGACATGCTAATTAAAGACTTATCCTTACCTTGGTTAGTGTTGGGTTTGGTCCTTGGTAACTTTGCAAGTTCCACCGACACCGCGTCCAACTTTAGGATCTTTCCTCATTCCCTCCAGGTCCTTGGTAACAATGTTAGTCATGTATCCAAAATAACACATAAATAACTCATATTTCATCTTTAACCATACAAGAGATTCACACGTTTTCAATGTTTCTAAAACTACTTTCATTCAGAGTTTCCAAACATCTAAAACATACATATTCATCATATACTCATCATTAGAACATATACTCATCTTCTACCATTAACATTTCACCCATTCCCATAGGCCAAAGGGCATCCTTCTATAGGAAAAAGTGCCAAATGAGCTGGTGATTGTGGTCTTCTCCCAATCCTCGGGAGAAATATGGACTTGAAAGTACACATAAAACCACCAAGAAAACAATATTGAGATTTACCAACTAAGAACTCAAGCAATTGGTCAATAAAAGGCAAAGGAAAGTGATCCTTTCTTGTTGCTTGATTGAGCCTCCTATAATCAATGCATACTCGCCAATTATTTTGCACTCTAGTAGGAATAAGCTCATCCCTCTCATTTCTCACCACTGTAATTCTTGTCTCCTTAGGAACTACTTGAACTGGTCTCACCCAATGACTATCAGAAATGGGATATATAATCCCAGCTTGTAGAAGCTTGGTGTCCTATTTCTTCAAAGCATCTAGAACCACTGATTGAGTATTCTTTGTGGTTGCCTCACTGGTTTAGCTTCATCCTCCAATAATATTCTATGCATGCACATGGATGGGCTAATACCAAGAATGTCAGCTAAGGTCCAACAAATAGCCTTCTATTGGTTCTTAAGCACTTGCAGCAACTTCTACTCTTGATTAGCATGAAGGGAGGTAGATACAATGACATAGAGCTTCTCATCATCCTCTAAGTAAGCATACTTGAGGTTATCAAGTGAAGGTTTTAGCTACAATAGAGGTTCTTTCAAAAAATCATCTTTACAAGAACTTAAAAGCTCATAATTAGTGCATGCATGACAAGTGTGTGAGGCTATCAATAATGAAGAATCAGAATCAGTATCATGAATAAATTTAGAGATGTGCTCATTAATCAACTCATGTAGCAAATCAACATGAAATACATAATGGTTCTCATATGGAAGCTTCACAGCATCAAAAATGTTAAACCGGACCATAAACATCTATCTTGGTTCGGGTTGTTCTTAAAAATGGCCTCCCCAAAATAGTAGGAACTGTGTTACGGGAGGATCTCTCTTCCATATCAAGTTTGTAAAAATCAGCACGAAAAATAAGTTCACAAACCCGGACCAACACATCCTCTATCAGACCAGCGGGATAAGAATTACTCATATTTGCTAATTGAATTACCATACTAGTATGTTTTAAAGTTCCAAGTGACAGAGACATAAAAACGGACATGAGCAAGACATTTATTGAAGCTCCTAAGTCTAGCATGACATTCTCAAATTTGCTATTACCTATGTTGCAAGGTACAATAAATGTACCTGAGTTCATACATTTTTCAGGAATGTGAGGAACAGGTTTACCTATGAGTGTAGAAACATTTCTGCCCATGGTGATCCTCTCATTACCTTTCAGCTCCCTTTTTTGAGTGCAAAACTCCTTTAGGAATTTTGCATATCTTGGAATCAACTTGATAACATCAAGTAGAGGTATGTTCACCTCAAGCTTTCTAAATGTGTCCAAGATCTCCTTGTCTACCTCTTCCATTTTCTTGCTTGGAATGATGTTTGGGGAAATGGAAGAGGGATGGGAGGTAGTTGTTGTGCAACACTTGAGGAAGGTGTAGTTGCATGAATGTGTCTGCCAATGTCATCAACCTTTTCTAAAACAGAATCTGGTGTATATGTAGGCAATTCAGTATGCTTGCCAGACCTTAGGGTGATGTCACTCATTTTTTGGGTTAATCACAATCTAAGAAGGTTACTTGTCAGAATCGTGCAACTGCATTGTGTTCAGTGAAGTAGCCATTTGTCCCATCTGTGCGGTGAGATTCTGAATGAAAGACTCTTGTCTCTGAATGGAAGTTGTCGTTTCTTACTGGAACTGCATGTTCTACATTGCCATCTTCCTCACCAACTCTTCAAATGAAGGTTCACTAGGTGTAGGCAAAGGATTGTTAATCACTTGTTGTTGCCTTTGTTATTGAACTGGTGGGACACATATGGTTTATTATGTCCAACATTGTTGTTTTAAATTGGGACATGAGGAGGTTGTTGTTGTGTGTGATCAGACCATTTAAGATTTGGATGATTTCTCCAACTAGGGTTGTATCTGCTTGAAGATAGATCATAATTTTGCTGTTGTTGATGAGATCTGTTGTTGTAGAGAAGGACAAACATCACTCTAATGGTCAGGTGAGGTGAAAATGCTACTTACTCTTACAATTGGTTGTTTTTTGTGGATTCATGGCTAACTAAGTGAACAATGTGGTGAGGGAATCAAGTTTTATCTCAAGCTTATCTTGCCTCACTGCATCAGTCCCAACATCATGCACTCCTCTCACAACTATAACATCACTGCTACTTGGATTGAACTTTTGAGAGTTGGAAACCATCTTCTCAATCAAACTTCTGGCTTCAAAAGGAGTCATGTCAAGAAGTGCACCTCCACTAACTTAATAAATAAAAGTATTCTCCATGTTGTTCAAACCCTCATAAAAATATTGGAGTAGGAGTTGCTCTAAAATCTGATGATGGGGACAGCTTGCATACTACCTCTTATATCTCTCCCAATACTCATATAAGCTCTCAACATGTTGTTGCCAGATTCCAGAAATATCTTTTTTGATTGTAGTGGTCTTGGAGGCAGGGAAGAATTTACCAAGGAATGTCGTCTTCAGGTCGTCCCAACTTATAATGGATCTAGAAGCCAAATAGTACAACTAGTCTTTTGTAGGGCCTTCAAGGGAATGAGGGAAGGCCTTCGAACATATGCGATCATCTTGGGTATCATGAGGTTTAATGGTTGAACAGACAATGTGTAACTCCTTGAGATGCATATGAGGATCCTCACCTACAAGTCCATTAAACTTAGGCAACAAATGGATTAGTCTAATTTTAAGCACATATGGCACATCCTCATTGGGATACTAGATACACAAGCTATTATACGTGAAATCAGGTGTTTCCAGGTACCTTAATGTCCTCTCACGGGGACCAGGAGGAGTAGGTGGTTGAGCCATATTTTCATAATGCTCAAAATCAGAATATGCAATAGAATGCACAAAATCACTATATTGCACACAATGCACATAAACAAAATTAGTATAATCTAAACTTTCTTGATCAAATGACTAACTATGGAAAGGTAAATTCTTATTTTGTCTAACTAACCTATGATATACTCTATCAATTTCAGGATTTATTGGATGCAGAGGGCTTGGATTTCCCCTAGTCATGCACTATAATCAACAATAGCAACAAAATAAGGCAATAATGGAAATGCATGTTATAATTGAGTAATAATCCAATACATTCCATCAATACCATCCTAATATCATGAAAAAAAAAACATCCACAAAAAAGTTTTAAGAAAATCTCAAAGCTTAACTAGTTTAATTATGCAAAACATAATTACTATAAAACTTCAAAAATAGAAAGGAAATAGTAAAGAGGGTTTTTTTATTTTCAGGGTGGAACTTTTAGATGTAGTGTGAAACAATGGATAGATTGGAATTTTCTACCCCAAATCAATATAAAATATGTCCAATTTTGATTAATAGTTCAAGTTATGCCAAAAATAGAATTTCACCAAAACATTATTGACTACCTATGTGTATCTCACAACCAACAGCATGGAAAATGATTATGGATCTTATATCATCCAATATGTGATAAAAGAATTGTAGAAACAAAACTTCATGCAAATAATTGACCCACATCTATATGTACCAGCACAATAGAATCACTTACCATGCAAAATGGAAAAACAGGCAATGGAACAGTAAATAGTGACACATCTTTTGAAACCAATCAGAATTTCCACCGCAAATGCACTACATAAATGAATATATGAATAAGTAAACTATACTAAACTAAACTAAGCTATAATAAACTACTAAGAACCATTTGTATGAACCGATAATCCTCGACAACAGTGCCAAATTTGATCGAAGCCGTACCCGATGCAAATAATATAACAATTGAAATTGTAGTACTAGGAAGTGACTCCTAGGTCGTCTCCCAAGGATTATCTTTCCGGCAAAGGTTCAAACATCTCATACTCACACACACGGGGGGGTTTGTTGTTGTTATGAACAAAAAGCATAAACAGAGCAAAAACAATAATTAGCAGTAAAGTAAAGTGGCTAAGCCCGTTTGGTTTCTTTGATCATAACTCAATCCTCAATTTCACAATATTAAATTTAGATTCTAATCATTGAATTCCTAATTTATTGAGAATCAACTAACTAAGCGATAATCAATTCACACCTCATTTTCCTAAGCCTCAAACTAAGTGAAATCGGCACAAACAAATAGTAGTCAACAAATTCGCACAAACTAAGCGTTCATGCACTAGCGAAATGATTGACTATTCAAAAATTAGTTCACAAAGCTATTTCTAAACCATGGAATTAAGCAAACCACAATCACAAATTGGATAGAATAAATCAACACATAAGAAACCGAAAATGAATTAAAAACCAAACCTCAATAGTTGAGATACATTACCAAAGGAGTTTAGTCTAGAAATTTAGCCTTCCAAGGAAGAATTATGAAAACCGATAATGGAGAGAAATGAAAACGAAACCCTAGTAGATCTATAAGAGGGAAAATATGATTCTCTTCTATGTTAATGCAATGTAATGTAATGTTACTTCCATGTTGTGGAATCCGAAATTCCTGGAGTAAAAAGAGTAAAATGAAAATGGTCCCTATACAATGGGCCCAAAACTCAAAAACTAATGATAAAAAATTATGAAATAAAATCCTAAGGTAAAATACAATCTTCGCTTTAGCACACATCCTCCACTTGTAATGCCCAAAATTTCCTTGATGCCAAATATGACCTGAAAATGGAATTATATTTAATCAGGCTAAATAATCCCAAATTAACTCATTTTAGGAATATTAGTCCAATAAAGTCGAAAACATAAAACCATGTCAATTTAGAGTAAGTCGTTAACTCAATAAATGCCAATACACATTAATCCACATTTTAATAAGGTGAAGTAAACAATTTAGAGTAAAATATACTTAAAACCATTTCCGTCGTTTGTACTTTTGAAAATCATGCTACATAACTTGAACCAAAGTTTGCTACATCGCTTGAGCCAAAGTTTGCTACATCGCTTGAGCCAAAGCGTGCTACATCGCATGAGCCAAAGCTTGCTACATCGCATGAGCAAAAGCTTGCTACATTAATTGAGCCCAAGCTTGCTACATCACTTGAGCTTAGTTTGCTACATCACTTGAGCCAAAGTTTGCTACATCACTTGAGCCAAAGTTTGCTACATCAATTGAGCCAATGTTTGCTACATAACTTGAGCCAAAGTTTGCTACATAACTTAAGCTAAAGTCGCTAACTAATCATGGTCGGCTAAAAACGTGTCTTCTTTTCATTGATACACCATCAATTCATAAACAGTAAATCCACGCAATCATTATTACATACATACCCATATATGTTGATAATAAATAAGCAACTCACAACTTGATCGTTATCCACGACCAGAAAATCCACACATTTTCCATTACAATCCGCAAGTTAAAGACTTATCCTTACCTTGGTGAGTGTTGGGTTTGGTTCTTGGTAACTTCGCAAGTTCCACCCACACCACCTCCAACTTTAGGATATTTTCTCATTCCCACCATATAACAAAATGTTAGTCATTTATTCCAAATAACACATAAACAACTCATATTGCATCTTTAACCATAGAAGAGTTTAACACATTTTCAATGTTTCTAAACTACTTTCATTATAAGTTTACAACATCCAAAACATACCTATTCATCTCATATTTCAACATTAGAGTGCATACTCATCTTCTACATCTAACATTTTACCCATTTTCCTCTTTAACCACATTTTCATTTTAGGGTTTTGGGGTTTTCACGAATCAACCCACAAACCCTTTCCATTCTTGAAATATCAACTCTAAACCAAGAGTTTACAAGATAAAAACAACATAAAACGAACCATAACTTAAAAGGATGAGTTTCCATGGTTTCTCACATTTTGAGAAGAGATCGAACACACCCAAAACAAGTTTCAAAGGGAAGAAGAGAGTCAGAATCTAAAGTTTTACCTCTTCTCAAGCTTCTAGATGATTCTCAAGACCCCATGCTCTTGAAAATGCTCTCTTCTCTCACTTATCTCTTGGTTATCCCCCGAAAATGTGTTTGGGGTTCCTTATTTAGTGTAACAGCGTCGGGTTCTCACTCAAGCGAGCCCATTCTCACTCAAGCATGAAAATCCCTCCCATTTTAAAAACTCAGATCTGACCCTCTCGCTCAAGCGAGGGTCCTCTCGCTCAAGCGAGAATCTCACAGCCTCTACAGCTTCAGAGAGCCATTTCTCGCGCAGGCGAGACCACTCTCGCTCAAGCGAGACAATTCTCGCTCATGCGAGAATCCATCAGTATAACCCAGGATTTCACTCACCCAAGTGAGCCACTCTCGCCCAGGCGACACCTTTATCATTCAAGCGAGACTCCCAGGACTGACACTATAACTTAATGACTTTAAATTTAGGGTGTCACAGATATCCCTGTTCTTAAGAATCTCACCAAAGCTTTGTTGCTTACACCTTTCTATTTCCTCCTTTGGGATTCTACAAATAGAGAGATAGAATCTCTTGCGACCGTAATCGTCCCAATCACACACTAGGCCGAAACCAGTGATGTCGCCTGTCATCGGTATATCACATCATATAGAACTAAAGGTTTGGATTTCCAAAACTATATCCTTTCCCTTAACATGGGAAGTCATAAGATTCTTCCTAAAGTTCATATTGTAGTAAAATACACGAACAAGCTCGGGATAGATATCGTTCGCTTCACAGCAAAAATCGAAAAGTTTTTGTTGCAGCAATAAGTAAGGAAATAGAAATCTTCAAATTCAAAATTTCCTATGTTATCGTGTATTTAGGAGTGAAAATGGCTCGTCCATGGAAATTTTCTTCGAAGACCTTCCTTTGTGTGTCGTTTGCAAGAAGCCTTGTCAATTTCAACGAATTTGTCTTTGAAGATGATTCTCCTTGCTTAGACTTACAAGTTCTTGGTCTCTTGGAAGAAGAAGCCATTGTTGGTTTCAATGGTTTTAGGTTAGGTTTTGGAATTTTGGGGGATTTTGATTGAGGCCACAAATCAAGAAAATGAAGATGTAGAAGTGTTTAAAATCAAGAATGTGATGTGATTTGCAACAAAAATATATCAAAACGGAGTAAAAATGAAGTTTTTAGAATTTCAGAGGGAGTAGAGTGAGAGAACATGAGTTATAGGAGAGAGAAAGTGAAGGGTTTTCTGAAAAAATGCAGCATGTAAGGACCCAAATTCTACCATTGAAATTTTTTCTTATTTTAACTCATGCAAACATATGATTTCCCTTTGTTAGTATAATATTTCCAAAACCAATACTTCGTGATCAACAACATTCCAACATATCCATTTACATGTTCATATGAATCCTTTTCATTACTCTTACAAAAATGGTTAACATACTATTTCCAGAATTCACGCATCAAGGGACCATTTACCAGGCATTGGCAATTAATCTCAAAGAGATATTTCACCATTGTCATACAAAACATGTTACACACAAATTCCTCATTTCATTCAACTTTCCAA